TTCTGTAGGCACTGGATCTGCAAAAGTTGAACAAAAATATAATGCTAAAATTGCATCAAAATGGGGTATATTGGGATGGCTACTTAATGGAGGATCAACTCCAATTGTTGATGTGTTTACTCAAGCAAGTGGTGATATGGTTGATTTCCATATTTCTGTTGTTTTCCAAGCTCTTCATTCCGAAGAAAATTACCTTCGTATTCAGGTACAAGTTCTATATACTGATAGCGTAAAAGATTTTTACAACTATTTATTTGTGACAAGTCACTTATCATGTTATACCATATTAAACTTATTACAAAAATTAGTTAAAATCAAAGGTGGACCCAAAATTTGGATCATCTAACATGCATATTGATCAACTTTTGGTAGTGTGATAATGTAAAAAAAATAAAATTGCACTTAGCTAATTTATGTGTATTATAGTCGAACTTCTTTCTTATAAGATATTGAGTCGAGGATTTTTTGGAAACAGTCTCTTTATCTCCACAAGATATATAGTGGTAAAATCAGCGTATACTCTACCTTCCTCAAACCCTTGTGCGGGATTTAATTCACTGGATATGTTGTTGTTGTTAGGAAGTTTTAGGTTTTATGACGATTTATCTTAGCTTAGACAAATAATTATTTTGTTTATTGATCCATGGTAGGATGACACATTAAGTGGAACAGACTCCTCTGTTGACATATCAACCAAAGAGAACATGAACAAATTGGTTGAAATTGGGACAAATTTATTGAAGAAACCAGTTTCAAGGATAAATCTACAGACAGGTCTATTTGAACAAAGCAAAAAAGATGACACAAATGAAGAAACTTTGAAAAGGTAAATAATATAATTTAAAGTCTCTTGTGAATATTACTATATTATTATATTAGCAATAGATAAACTTTGTAACGAATAATAAAATTCATCATCTCTAATTCTATTTCTTGGCAAATCAACAACAACAATAAAATTGTTTGCTATGAAATATTTAACGATAAAGTTGCAACGAAATTGATCATGTATATTTTTTTGACAGGTTTGCAAAGTTACTTTCACAAGAAAAAAGACTCAGGGATTCCAAGTCACCACATACAAGCAAAACCTCAGAGTAGAATATCATATATATTTGTTTAGAACACACAAAAAATTATTTAATTAATATTTGTATTTAATTAACTCAGTATTTATTTAATTTGTAATAAAAGACGTGTGAAATTCAAATTGTGTGTGATGTACAGTGTAAAATTATTGTTAATATTCATAAGAACATATGCCTCGCCCTGCAGTTTAATTATTTTGTTCCATTATAGCAGTTGACTTTTCGTCACCTAGTTCATCTCTATGGGCCCATTTGGCCATAGATTTTCCAAATAATATTTGGAAAATAATTTGGCAAATAGTGTTTATCCATATAATTTGTCATTATTTGGTAAATATTTTTGGCAAATATCTCAAATTCCCAAATACTAGTTTTTTCTAGTATTTGGGTCAAATCTCATTATTTGAAATCTTTTGAAAATTTAAATTTTATCCCAAACTTTTATCTTTTACAAAAACACCCTTTATAGTAGTTGTTTGTGTCGTATTACATAATTTTTCACGTGAACACCAAAATAGTGATGAAATATTCAGTGAATATTAAATGATGATATGGTTGTTGATGAAAATGATGAACAATCGGCTCAGAGTAACAAAGTCATGTGTTTTGTCTACTTCACGATGTATGGAATAATGTTTGTTGCACTCACTCCAAACTACCACATTGCTCTAGAGTCATGGACACTATTTATTATTGTTGCAACAAAGATCCAATTGATTTGTAATACAAATTTATGGTTAGTTTTGATAGTTTTTAAAACTTATGGGTATAAATCATATTTTTCTAAAAAAGTGAAATATATTTCTCAAATACTATGGCCAAACACATGGTGAAATTTCACCCAAATAATATTTGCCAAGAATATTTAGAAATCTATGGTTAAACGCTAGCTATATATCCCTCATTGGTCATAAATTTTGAAAATAATTTTTCGTGACCTTATCAATCTCTATGTAATCCCTACGCAACGTAACTTATAGTGTAGTCTAAGGGTGTGTTCAGTATGGAGGAAAACTATTTTTTTTTCTAAATTTGTTGTTGATCAAAATTCTTAAAGAATATTTTTTTAAGAAAATAGGTTTAGAAAAATGACTTTCCTGCAAGTTGAAGTTGGAAAAACAAGTTTCACCAGCGATATTCCTCGTTGATTATGCCCACCCTCCAATAACGTAACATACCTCATCACTATCCCCACCACTCATAATATCTGCCTAAATTACATACAAATGTTACTAAGATAAAAAAAAATGAAAATCGATTAAATACCTAAATATAAGAAATTAAAATAAGTAAAAACACCAATTTATTTTTTTATTTAAAAGAAAAACAACTAAAAACATGAAAACCATTTTTTTTTCCCTCAGAGGTAATGGACGACCTACATTTTTTCACTTGTCCAACTCAATCGCAGGCTGGCAAATAATTTTGCCATGATGTGTTGTTGTTATTATCAGAAATGCTTTATTATTACATTATTGTAAATTTCAATTAAGGGTGTACATGATCGGATTGATTCGGTTTTTTCAAATATTAAATCAAATTATTTGTGTAAAAAAATTTAATTTATAAACCAAACCAAACTATGAAAATTTGGATTTTTTTGGGTTTTTAACTTCGGGTTGGTTCGGGTTTTTCAAATACCAAACCAAATCATTGTGTCGAATTTTTTAATTTCTAAAGCAAACCAAACTAATAAACCTCGGAATTTTTTTCAAATTTTTGGATTTTTCGGTAAAGTTTGCATACAAACATATAATTAACTTGTGCTCCAAATATTTCTTTAGTCCAACCAAAATACAATTATCTAAGGTGTTTCTTAAGAAAATAACACAAAATATGAAATGAGTACTGATAACACAAAATATTCAATAAAAAATAATAATGAAATCATCATATAAAATAAATATTGCAAAGTCATAATGAAAATGATCATAATTTAAAAGTATTAAATCATGCTAAAATAAGTTTAATAAGTATTAGTTACATTACTAAATATTTAAGGAAAATTAAAATTAGATTATATATTTAATTGTCTGAACCAATATATTTTAATTGTCTAAATCAATGTTGAATTGATTTTTTTTTTTTTTTGCATTAGTATTAATTTAATTTTGATTATAAGTTTTATTATAATTATCAACATTTATGAACTATAATCTTTATTGGACCATTCCGAATTATAAGTTTTAAACTTGAAATAATATATTAAAAGATAAAAACTATGAAATAGTAAAAGAAATATTTTAAAATTATATCAAAGTAAATATTTTTATGTATAAAATAAAATTTTAAAATTACATATATAATGTCGGGTTGGTTTGGTCTCGGGTTGTTTTTTTTTTTTGTTAAAACCAAACCAACCCAAATATAGTCAGGTTTTTTTTTTCCAATACCAAACCAAGTCAAACCAAACCACTAGTCGGGTTTTTTTTCAGTTTGACTCGATTTCTATGTCTTAGGGCATCTCCAACCCTACACTCTATTTTACTCTCGAAATATAAAGTTCTCTATTTTCTCAGACAGCCAACTCCAACCCAATTCTCTATTTTACTCTCTAAAAAGAAATATTTTTCTCTCTCCTCAATATTATATTATTATTTCTATTTCATTCTTATTTTCTTATTTCATTGTATATATCCTTTATTTCTTTTTCCCAATAATTACTTTATATAATTTTCATGTGATATAAAATTTTATTTTTTTATTTAATATAAAATTTTATTTTATTCTAAATTATAAATAACATAAATTGCAAGAAAATATTATATAATATACAAATTAATGGACAAATTCAAATAAAAGTGAAATACAATTACATAAACACTCAATTTTCAAAACTATGACGTTGCTCCCATGAATTCTCTATTAATGCATTACAGAGTTCAAAATGGGCATTTTTGTCCTTAATTTTTTTATGTCTAGCTAGAAGTTGTTTAAATCGGAGATTTTCATTTACCACCATTTATGTCGTTGGAGTTGGAGCCTCTACGACATCTTGAATTGGTGCATTAAGATCACGTTGATCCTCAATTATCATGTTGTGCAGTATAATGCATGTAGTCATTATATCATGTAGCACTTTCTTTCTCCAAAAACGTGACGGTCTTGCAAAAATTGCAAAACGTGATTGTAAAACTCCGAATGCACGTTTAACATCTTTTCGGCATGATTCTTGTTTCATCGCGAATTAATTATTATGTTATGTATTGTATTTTATCTTGCATTTAAATTATTATGTTATGTATTGTATTTTATCTTGTATTTTAATTATCATATTATGTGTTGTATTTTTAAATTAAACTTTTCATCTTATCATTTTAATTTTGTGTATTCTTTATAGTGAAAATTAATAATAAAATCAAATTATATTATCGACGAAAATTTAAAAAAAAAATACTATTAATTCGGGATGAAAGTAGTATATATTAAATAATATATTTTTTAAAATATGATATTACATTTAAAAGAAGTATGAATAGTAGATATTTAATTAATGACATTATATGTAAAATAATATGTTAATTAGAAAGTAATAGAAATAATAATAAAATATTTAAAAAGTGAAATAGAGAGTGTGAATAGTAGTTCTCCAAATTTGGAGAACTACTATTCACCTCTCTAAATATGAAGAATAGAGGGTGATATAGAGTTGGGTTGGAGTGCCCATTCTCTATTATACTCTCTAAATATAAAGAATGAAGAGTAAAATAGAGGTGGATTGGAGATGGTCATTTACATGTCCTAAATATTTTCCTCGTCACATTCCATTGTCTTTTCAAAATAAAATAAAATAATAAAATATTGATCTCCAATAAAAATATCTTGGATTGCTCGTAATATAGTGAGGGATATATTGAGGTCTATAAATTGATAATTTAACCTTGCTGAAAATCAATTAATTATTTTCTTATAAATTTATCAAAAAAAATGTCATCATCTGGTTCATTCAAGTTGCAACCTCCAATTAATGGTAAATTCATCACAATTCTCAGCATCGATGGAGGTGGCATTAGAGGATTAATTCCTGCAACTATTCTTGAATATCTTGAATCTCAACTCCAGGTGACCGCGTAAACTTCTCTATCCTAAATTCAAATTTTAACTTGTTATATCATATTACGTATCACTTATTATGACCTATTCAACTGAACTCAATATTTCATTCTCTACATGTTAATTTCTATAGGAATTAGACGGTGAGGATGCTAGGCTCGCAGATTACTTTGATATAATCGCAGGAACAAGCACGGGTGGCCTTGCTACCGCTATGCTAACAGCTCCAAACAAAGATAATCGTCCTCTATTTGCTGCTAAGGATATAAAGCCCTTCTATCTTGAACATGGTCCTAAGATATTTCCACAAAATAATATGTAAATTTTCTAATTGAATTCTTTTTTCTTCTTGTAAAAATAATTAATCACTATTAATAATTATTGTTTTTTTTTTTCATTTTATATAGGATACTGATTGGATCAATAATAAAGGGATGGAAATTTCTAACAGGACCAAAGTATGATGGAAAGTATCTTCGCCAAGTCATAAAGGAGAAATTAGGGGAGACTAAATTGCATGAGACTTTGACTAATGTTGTTATTCCAACTTTTGATATCAAGAATATACAACCTACAATTTTCTCCACTTTTAAGGTCTCTTTTTCCACTATATTTTTCCTTAATTTTTAATCAGAGGTGTCAAATTAGTTTGATCCGTTTAATCTATTTAACAGGCGAAAAAACATTCAATAATGGATGCTAAGCTTTCCGATATATGCATCGGCACATCTGCTGCTCCAACATATCTTCCAGCACATAATTTTCAGACCCAAAACGAAGATGGCAAATTTCATGAGTTCAATCTTATTGATGGTGCTATCGCAGCTAACAATCCGGTATTAAATAATTTAACTTATTTTATGTCACATTAAAACAATTGAACTCTACCAATTGAGTACTATGTTTGAATTATATTAAACGTTATTTATTATAACAATAAAGTTACTAAATCTTACACACTATAATGACAACATCTATTTATCGAGATGACTTTACTGTTAAAGTAAGTAAAGTTTGTGATATTAACTCGAAATTTATATGATGTGGTTGGCTTTTGCAGACCTTTATTGCTATAAATGAAGTGACCAAACAAATATTCGAACAAACCCCATATTTCAAAAATTTCGACGAAATGAAGCCCACTAATTATGGGAATTTTTTGGTCATCTCCATTGGGACTGGATCAGAAAAATTGGAACATAAATATGATGCTAAAATTGCATCAAATTGGGGTATTTTTGGATGGCTAAGTGATGGAGGCTCAAATCCAATTATTGATGCATTTGCTGATGCTAGTAATGATATGGTTGATTATCATATTTCTGTTGTTTTTCAATGTGTTTGTTCTGAAAAACAATATCTTCGTATTCAGGTACTATTTATTCCACTCCTGAATATTCTTTCAGTTTAAATAAAAATGACTTACTTTTATTTTCAGTTTGTTTTAAAAAGAATGGTCCTTTCATTTTTTTTGCAACACTTTAATTTCAGTTTTCTTCGTGACATATTTAAAACCACAAGATCAAAAGAGTTTTTTGGTACATTTGATATAACTTTAATTTAGTACCACAAGATTGAACCGTTTCTTTATTTTTTTTAAATTCCGTGTCAAGTCAAACTAAATCATTCTTTTTTAAATGGAGAGAGTATCAAATGTGCTTGATCAAAAACAATAAAGACCAAAATCAAAATTTGTTAATATTTGAGGGATTAAAAGTGCTAATTTCCTAATTGAAATTGTTACTAAATACATTTGAAGTTATTGAAAAAAGAATCGTTTTAAACGAAGCCTTGTTATTTTAATTAGTCGAGTATTCATCAAATAAGAAATTCAAGGAGAGATAAATGATACTCTAGTTTACAAATATTCTCTTATGATAATGTATAATATTTGAGAGTAAAACGTTTTTAAAAAAAGCTAAATTCATATTCAGAATTTAATTTTGAGACGTATAAAGTATTTATCACTTTATTAAAGTCCTAGATGTTACTAAATTATGTTGCTCAACAATATTAATTAGGATGACACATTAAGTGGAGCAGACTCCTCTGTTGACATATCAACCAAAGAGAACATGGACAAATTGGTTGAAATTGGGAAAAAATTATTGAAGAAACCAGTTTCAAGGGTAAATTTGAAGACATGTCTATTTGAACAATTAGGGCCAACTGGTGGCACAAATGAAGAAGCTTTGAAAGAGTAATATTATTCAACTCTCTTGTGAATATTATTAATCAATATATTTTTTTTATTCATTGAACATATTGTTTTAATTTGTCAGGTTTGCAAAGTTGCTTTCCGAAGAAAAAAAATCCAGAAATCCCAAAGTACCTACTACAAATAAATTGTAGAGGCGAAATCGTGATTTGGTATAAATGAATCCTAGATTTTATGATTTTGAAATAATATTTGTAATTCAATTTCTGTATTCTAGCTTTTGATTGTTGGACCGATGTAATAATATTCAATAGTGCGTTATGTAAAATTTTTGTTACGTGCTTGATTATTTTGTAAGGGCAAAAAGCATCAAAGTTTATATCTGATCTCTTATTATATAGGAGGGAGTTTATGATTGGACATCGTGATGTCCAATCATAAACTCCCTATATAATATATAATATATAATATAATAAATCATTTTTTCTACTATATAATATATATTTATTTTTCTACTATAAGGGAGTTTATATAATATATAATAATATAATATAATAAATCATTTACAAATGACTTAAAATATTTCATATTTAAAGGATATATAATAAAATAGGTTCACTCTCAAAATTCTATCCGGGTCACATATATTGGGACAGAAAAAATAACATATATCATTTTAAAATTACCAAAAAAGTATTATAAATAATAATAATTAACAACTTAAAATATCTTAAAGACATTTTAAAAGGGTTAATTTTGTAATTGTAATTTCTACTATATAATAAAAGGGAGTTTATATAAGATATATTCTACTATTATATAATATCATAATAAAACCCCTTTTATTATATAGTAGAAATAAATATAATATATATAATATAATATAATATATAATAATATAATATAATAAATCATTTACAAATGACTTAAAATATTTAATATTTAAAAGATATATAATAAAATAGGTTGACTCTCAAAATTCTATCCGGGTCACATATATTGGGACAGAAAAAATAACATATATCATTTCAAAATTACCAAAAAAGTATTATAAATAATAATAATTAACAACTTAAAATATCTAAAAGACATTTTAAAAGGGTTAATTTTGTAAGTTTATTCATATCACATAAATTAGGACAAAGTGACCAGCAATGTAAGTTATTTGAAAAGTTACATAAAAATATTATAAATCACAATAATTAATAACTTAGAACTTTTTTAAAAAAAATGCAAATTTGGATGACTCTTCAAATTTCATTTGTGTCACATAAATTGAGACAACAAAAATAACATATATTGCGCCCATTTTAATTTATTTGTCTTAATTTTTTTTTATATTTAAAAATTACGTAAAAATACTATAAATCATGATAATTGACAACATAAAATATTTCAAAAATAAATACATATAAAAAAATTTGATTAATTCTTGAAATTAATCTATCGTTAAAAATTATGTATAATTAAAATACAATAAATCGTGATTTTGACCACTTAAAATATTTAATAAAAAAACGGAAAAAATAAATTGACTGATTCTTAAAATTAATCTATCAATGTCACATAAAATGAGACAAAAGTAGTAATATGTATTGTTTAATGTGAAATTATTGAAAACTACGTAAAATGTATTATAAATGTTAACAATTAACAACATTTGATTGAATCTTGAAATTTTATCAATGCTACATACATTGAGACAAGTGGAGTAATATATATTAAGTATTTAAAAATTACGTACAACCATATTGCTTTCTGTAGGCTTCGAATTATCGTGGTCATTTTTTAGGCTAATACAAGTTTTGTACTTTTTTTTAATATTATAAATCGCAATAATTAATAATTTAAAATATTTAAAAAAATATATTAAAAATTTAGTTGGTTTGGGGAATTTTATTTATACTATATAAAATGGGACAAAGGAAGCAACATATATCATTTACAAATGACTTAAAAAACATTAAAAATTAGAATAATTACCAATTTAAAATATTTAAAAGCTATATAATAAAATAGGTTCACTCTCAGAATTCTTTCAGGCTCACATATATTAGGACATAAAAAATAACACATATCATTTTAAAATTACCAAAAAAGTATTATAAATAATAATAATTAACAACTTAAAATATCTGAAAGACATTTTAAAAGGGTTAATTTTGTATTTTTATCCATATCACATAAATTAGGACAAAGTGACCAGTAATGTTGGTTATTTGAAAGTTACATCAAAATATTATAAATCACAATAATTAATAACTTAAAACATTTTTTTAAAAAAAATTAAAATTTGGATGACTCTCCAAATTTTATTTGTGTGACATAAATTGAGACAACAAAAATAACATATATTGGGTTCATTTTAATTTATTTGTCTTATTTTTTTTTGGGTTTTTTATATTTAAAAAATGCGTCAAAATATTATAAATCATGATAATTGACAACATAAAATATGTTTTGAAAAAAAATACAAAAAATTCCACTCATTCTTTAAGTGAATCTATCGTAAAAATACTATAAATCATGATAATTGACAACATAAAATATTTCAAAAATGTTGTATGTGGATAGTCTTATTGTGCCTTGAATAGCGTCAAATAAAGTACAAGTTTGTGATAAAAAAACTTATTCCTTTATCCACGCAAACAATCGCTTCAAAATCTCCGTTATTAGCCCCAAAACATACCATTTATATTATTGGGCCCGTGCCCGTGCATAGCACGGGCAACATTACCTAGTATCTTAAGAAACTAGTGATCATTTCTTATTTATAAATTCCAAAAATATAATGTATCAAGAAAATATTCATTATTTGTTCTAATAAATTCCGTGAATAAATATATTCAACAAAAATGTTTGTAAACTAGAGAAAATGGCCCGCGGGCCCAATATTATAAATAAGAGAAAAATGTATAAAATAGCAAATTATTAATTCTAAATTCGAAATAATTAAAATTAAAAATATTATGATTGTTAAATAACTACCTAGTTCCATTTGTCCAATAAAAAAATATCCTAGAATTGAGAAAATTAAAAGGATATTCAACTAATATGGAGAAATATAATTTATGAAGTCTCAAATTTGTGTACCATCTAAGAGTGTGTTCTAGTGGATAAGATTGCTCCGCTAGCTCTTAATTAGAGATCTCGATATGAAAAATTCCTTGATAGGCTAGCGCTACCCTCGAAAAAAGGCCCTATCTAACACAAATCCAATTAATTAGACTCCAATATAATTATTGACACATCGGGTGAAAAAAAAAGGTCTCAATTTGTGGTCAAGTTGGTGCCTGATCATTTTCTTACAGGTCATAAATATTTTCCTGGTCACATTCCATTGACTTTTCAAAATAAAATAAAATAATAAAATATTGATCTCCAAAAAAAAAAATCTTGGATTGCTCTTAATATAGTGAGGTCTATAAATTGATAATTTAACCTTGCTGAAAATCAATTGACTATTTTCTTATACTCAAAAAAATGTCATCATCTGGTTCATTCGAATTGCAACCTCCAATTAATGGTAAATTCATCACAATTCTCAGCATCGATGGAGGTGGCATTAGAGGATTAATTCCAACAATTATTCTTGAATATCTTGAATCTCAACTCCAGGTAATCGCATAAACTTCTCTATCCTCATTCAAATTTAACTTATTCAACTGAACTCAATATTTTATTCTCTACGTGTTAATTTCTGTAGGAATTAGACGGTGAGGATGCTAGGCTCGCAGATTACTTCGATATAATTACAGGAACAAGCACGGGTGGCCTTGTTACCGCTATGCTAACAGCTCCAAACAAAGAAAATCGTCCTCTATTTGCTGCTAAGGATATAAAGCCCTTCTATCTTGAACATGGTCCTAAGATATTTCCACAAAATAATATGTAAATTTTCTAATTTTTTTTTTTCTTCTTGTAAAAATAATTAATCACTATTGTTTTTTCATTTTATATAGGATGCTGATTGGATCAATAATAAAGGGATGGAAATTTCTAACAGGACCAAAGTATAACGGGAAGTATCTTCATCAAGTCATAAAGGAGAAATTAGGGGAGACTAAATTGCATGAGACTTTGACTAATGTTGTTATTCCAACTTTTAATATATTTTTCACTCTCCAATCGAACACGGAAAACGTTTTCCTAATTAGAAGTATGTGTCATAAAATATGTCAATTTTTCTTATATATGTCTTGGTACTTGCTTTTTGCAGGCCCTTGTTGCTGGAAATAATGGCTGGAAATCCAGATTTTTTTCCAATTAAACCCATTGATTATGGAAGATTTTTGGTGATTTCTGTAGGCACTGGATCTGCAAAAGTTGAACAAAAATATAATGCTAAAATTGCATCAAAATGGGGTATATTGGGATGGTTACTTAATGGAGGTTCAACTCCAATTGTTGATGTGTTTACTCAAGCAAGTGGTGATATGGTTGATTTTCATATTTCTGTTGTTTTTCAAGCTCTTCATTCCGAAGAAAATTACCTTCGAATTCAGGTACAAGATCTATATATACTGACAACGTAAAAGATTTTTATAACTATTTATTTATGACAGGTAACTTATCATGTTATACCATATTAAACTAATTACAAAAATTAGTTAAAATCAAAGGTGTACCCAAAATTTGGATCATCTAACATGCATATTGATCAACTTTTGGTAGTGTGATAATGTAAAAAAAATAAAATTGCACTTAGCTAATTTATGTGTATTATAGTCGAACTTCTTTCTTATAAGATATTGAGTCGAGAGTTTTTTGGAAACAGTCTCTTTATCTCCACAGATATATAGTGGTAAAATCAGCGTATACTCTACCTTCCTCAGACCCTTGTGCGGGATTTAATTCACTGGATATGTTATTGTTGTTAGGAAGTTTTAGGTTTTATGATGATTTATCTTAGACAAATAATTATTTTGTCTATTGATCCATGGTAGGATGACACATTAAGTGGAACAGACTCCTCTGTTGACATATCAACCAAAGAGAACATGAACAAATTGGTTGAAATTGGGATAAATTTATTGAAGAAACCAGTTTCAAGGATAAATCTACAGACAGGT